ACATTAGGGGTCTTGGAGACCCCTGATGTCTCCATAAAGAGGACCTGTCATGTAAATTGGCTGTCACATAGGGGGCTTCTTAGCCCCCCCATGTAATAGCAATAAAGTTGTGTGTAAAAAAAAAAGTAATACAAAAATTAAAGAATCATTAAAAAAAAGCATAACATTTAAAAAAAAATAACTTTTTTTAAGCCCCCGCCCCCCACATACACAGATATGCGCCGGGTGCGCCTACGTGCGAAGACGATTGCGCCTATTGTGCCGCACATGTTACATATTGCCGCAAACATCGGAGTGAGAGCAATAATTTTAGAGCCATTAAGGCCGGGTTCACACCTGGGCGTTTTACAGAGCTGATCGACGCGCTGTAAAACGCCCAGCAAATGAAATCCCATTATTTCCTATGGGCATGGTTCTCACTTGGGCGTATATTTCATAATTGTCGGGATCCGCTTCAGCTGTGGCGTCTCAGTATACCGCGAGCTGTAGCTTGCGTTATACTGAGCTTAGGGTGACGGGAGGACGCTAGTTTGTGTCCTCCCGTTACCCTAAGGAGAACTATGGGGGAAAAGCCCTGACCCCATAGTTCTCCTTTAATCACTGATAACACCAAACTGATGAACAGTAAAAGCGTTTTAATCGTAGCCTATGGGCGTTTTTTGTGATTTTTGTGGGCGCACGCAGTTTTAAGGCTTGACATGTTTGGTGTCTATTTACCCGACGTGACCCCGACTTTTATGTTTTACAAAAAATATGGGTAAGAATAAATGTTTTATAACATAACGTAGGTTTTTGTTTTTTTTACATTTATGGTACTTTTTTCATTATATAGCAAAAGAAAATAACCCCTTCCCCCCCAGTGGTGATTATATACCTCCAAATGAAAGCTCTATCTGTCCCCAAATATTTTTAACATAAATTGCAAGGCTATAGTCCGGTCATGCTGACTGGTGACATTTTTGACTGACACCATCAAATTTTTCAAGCTGTGTGTGTATGTATATGTATGTATGTATGTGTATATATATAATATATATTAGAGGTGCACCTCTAATATATATTAGGCCGAAACCGATACCGAAAATGTTTTTAATTTTTATTTTTTCAATTTTTTAGTGTACCTTGCTCTTCTCTTTGACACGCTGTCACAGGAG